CATTATATATCAGCTAGGAAGACTGAAAAGAGATGAATCAGAGAATGAAAAAAAATCTCTGTTTTACAATGAACTGTTAAAAGTGTTTAGTTGACCAAAGACCTGCTGCTCACAAAGAATTTACATCTACAGCTACAGCTAAAGAGAGTTTTAAAATATTTCTAGAAATGTATTTGTCATTTTATTTTTGCAGCACAGTTCTTCTAAATGCTTTTTAAGTTTAAAGTTGTAATACAGTAATTAACTGGTCCAGTGTTATTCATGAATATAAAATGTTAGAGATAACACATCAGCGTTTGGAATAATTTTATGAGTGCTATCTTCAAACAAGTGCAGCATTAATTGGCATGCATGTATCACACAAGGAAATTTTAAAATACAGCCATTTATTGCAGCCTGTTTGCAGTATTTGCTGCATCTCAGCTCTGGTGGGTAGACTGCATGACGGAGATGAATGTTAACAAGATGCCCAAATAACTTCTGAAGTGAGCCGGAGACGGGTAACTGAACAGGCAGGGAGAGGCGCCCTGCAGTGCAGCCTGAAGTGTCTGGTACAGCTGTGGCGTGTTTGGAAACAAGAGTAAATTGGCGTGCAGCGATTAGAGATGAAGTGGCTTTTATGAGCAAAAGCATCATGGAGCCTAGGAATCAAAGCTGCACAACTGTAAACAATGATAAGCTATTTAGTCAGCAGTTGTAGCTACAAAGCAAAGATAGGTGGACATACAGTAGAAAGCAGCGTCCCAAACATTAGCATGCTTCAGAAACATCTGGAGGCTTCTCAGAACTCAGTTTTCAGAGCCTACCCCCCAGTTTCTGATTCATTTGTTCTGGGGTGGGGCCCAAGAACTCCATTTCTAACAAATTCCCAGATGCTGCTGCTGCTGCTGGTTCAGGAACCACACTTTGAGAACCACGAGCATCAAGTTAAATACCAGGTATTTTAATCATATCATATATACGTGACTAACATAACTGTGTTATCTTTAAATATGTAAGATAACACTGTATTAATATTTGTCTCAAATAATATTTTCCTCCTGGCCTACTTAAGTGTTTCTTATTAAATCATCTTATTAAATCAATCTTACTAAATCATTAGACCCAGAGTGAACTATTCCTAGAATAGTTTCTTAGTACTCTAACAGATATATTTTGGGTCCTAGAATCTTAGACTCTCATTAAAGACATATAGTTCCGTCACCTGATGCATAGATCTTGCCTGAAACATTCCTGCCAAATGGTCCTTCAGGCTGTGCATCAGCTCCATGAGTATCAAGAAACTCACCATTTCCCAAAGCAGCTCATTTCGTGTGTGGAAAACCATGACTATTGGAAATTTTCTTTTTTTAATTGGGCTAAAATCTGTTTTCCTATAACTTGCACCTGTTGACCCCAGTTCTAACTCATGCACAGTATATGAAATGTAAGATAAATATTATTAAGATTTTGTGACTATCTTCAAATAATTAAATAGAGCCTCTCACCCTTTCTCCCACTCTCCCTTTTTGGGTAAATATTTGCATATTCATCAGCTATTCCTTATAGATAAGATGTCAAGTCCCCTCACCATCCTGCTTGCCTGCCTTCTAAATTTTATACCGAGAATTTAACAATTCTGTAATAGAGTAGAAATAATGATAATATAGTGGAATGGTGTGGACAGTATAGCGTGGTGGTTTAGATGATATGCTGTGACATCAGAGATTGAATTTGAGTCTCATCTCTGCCGCTTTTTAGCCTTGTGATGTTGGGAAAATTTTTGAGCCTGTTTGAGATTCCTTTGCCTCTTGTTTAAAATAGGGTATAAAACCTACTCCACATGTTATTATTGGAGGGTGGTGCTAAATAAAGAGAACTAGAGAACAGCTATTTGAAAAGCAGTTAAATCCTTAGACTTCTCCTCCTTGCCAAACACATGAACAATTGCCCTGAATACCCACCCACTCCCACAACCTCTGGCAGAAGTCTGGAGATCTGTTTTCTGGAGAAGTTAGATGGATGGTCTCTGAAATGAGAGGTGCTAGGTATAGTTGAGCATGTGGGTCCTGTAACAATCACTATAGGATTAATGACCACATGCAAACCAAATACTGACTGCTGAGAGCTCCAGGCCCCACTCCCTACTAGTCTCCCAGCGCAATGGAGCCAGATCCTTACCTTCTCAGCAGGAGATAGGAAAACTGTTCTCACCAGAACCTAACCCCCTCAGAGGAAGGAATTAAAGATATTGACATTAGTGGTTCCCCAACAAATGACCCACCCAAATGACTATATAATTATAATAGCAGAAATTAACAACTCAGTGGTAGGATTGGAAGCTAAAGTTGACGAAATCTCTAAGGAAGTAGAGCACAAAAACAAAGGTAGGGAAAATGGAGAGAAAAATAGGAAGATTAGAGGACTAGCCCCAGAGATCTAACATCTGAACAAGAGGAGGTTCAGAAGGGAGAACAGAGAAAACAGAGAGGAGAAAATAATTGATGAAAGAATTCAAGAAAATGTTCTAAAGCTGAAGGAAACAAGTTGTCTGATTAAGTCAGTTGACTTTTGAGCCAGCCCTGATGGCTTAGTGGTTAAAGTTCAGTGTGCTCCACTTCGGCAGCCCCGGTTCAGTTCCCAGTCACGGAACCACACCACTCGTCTGTCAGTAGCCATGCTGTGGCAGCAGCTCACATAGAAGAACTAGAAGGACTTACAACTAGAATATACTACTATGTACTGGGGCTTTGGGGAGGGAAAAAAAAAGAGGAAGACTGGCAACAGATGTTAGCTCAGGGTGAATCTTTCCCAGCAAAAAAAAAAGTCAGTTGACAGTCAGTTGACCTCAGTGAATGAAAATAGTCCCCCTCAGGGCACGTGGAGAAGCTATAGAGTACTGGGGACAAAGAGGAAATTCTGTAATACTTCAGAGATAAAGCAGGTTATATACAATGAATAAGAATTAGAATGGCTCCAATTCCTGAGCAACAAAACAGGGAGCAAAAGGACAGTGGAATTTTGCCTTCAAAATTCTGAAAGAAAAGGATTCCCGACCTAGAATTCTTTATCTAACCAAACTATTATTAAGCCTAAAAGTAGGATACAGACATTTCAGACACGCAAGTTCTCAAAACTTCTCATGTATCCTTTTTCAATGCACTACTGGAGAATGGGCTACTCCAAAATGAGAGTAAACCAAGGAGGATGGTGAAGGGACCTGTCAGACGACAGCTGTGGTCCAAATGGCACTCCCAGCTCAGAGTGTGGCAGTGTTACTCGGGACACAGATACGTTGAGGCTGTCGTCATTGGCTGCCCATGACAGTCAGACCTCTTTTAATCCAAGCACAGCCTGGATGAGCCTGAACTAGATTCTTAAGTGTATGTGTCTTGCCTTGACCATGTGCTGATGAAGTTCCTATTTTCCTTTCTGTGTCCTGCTGCTGCATCAGCTGAGAATACTCATTTCACCCCAAAAAAGGTTTATGATTAGAATTTTTCCTGAGAACTGGAGATAGGCCTCAGAGAGCTTTGAGGCAGAAAATAGAAGCTGCCAACCATGGTTACAGGAGGTCCAGTTTAGTTTAGAGGGACATGAATATGTGAAACAAATAAAATAGTACAGACAGGTAAGTCATATGTGCTGAGTGCTAAGCATTAATTTCCCTGTTTTGACTTATAATGAATGTTTTTTTTTTTTTAGTGGCAAGTCCAGAGTTAGTTGCAAAGACTTTAGAACTGGATTTTGCCGGTTTGTACCACCTAATACGTAAACAAACGTAAATAGATATTCCAAGGAGACAAGAAAAAGTTCTGTGTCCAAGAAAGTTTGGAAAACACTTGAATAAATTACTATAGATTTCTTAGAGCTTTAAATGTGCTAATGAACATTGTTAATCTCCTAATGGGAAGCACATATGCAATTGCCCAGTCTTATTTGACTTCAGAGCCCTGTTTTCACAAAACATCTTTTTACATCTTAAGGAACACAGTTTGGAATGTAATGATTTAGAATGAAGTGTGAAAGAAGAGATTTAATATGATTTTGCCTGAAAGGAAGTTAAAATGTTATCAAATCTTTAATTTGATGGAAAACAGGTTTAGAATGCTTTTTATTTTACTTATAGTTTCTTGGTGAAAAAAATAATTATATCTGTACATGTGCTAAAGTGTTCTGGATCTCAGATGGGTTGCACTTCAGTCTTGACTATATCTGACCATGGAGAGAAAAAGATTTGTTTCACAACTTTTGGGTACTTGTAGTTGGATGTTCATTTTGTCATAATATTCTCTGTAGAAAAAAAAAGATGAAGGAATCTAAGTTACGGGTTTTTCAGACTTTCTACTTTAAATGCCAACTTAAAATGCTGGCGGTCAGTAGAATAGGGTATAATACTTTACTTTTCTTCTTTCTCTGGTAAGTGTAGTGTAAAAATATGTTGGGCAAAGTTTGCAAGTCAAGATAAATATTGATAATTCTATTTTAGTTTCATTTCCATGGTGTTATTGACATATAATACATCTTTAGATTTTATCTATTTCCTGCTTTGGGGTTTTTTTAGGCTTATTATGAATATTTAATGTATGAAATTCTGAGTAGTTGTTTTATGTTGAGACCTTCCAGACAGGATTTTTTTTTTTTTTTTTTGTGAGAAAGATCAGCCCTGAGCTAACATCCATGCCAATCCTCCTCTTTTTGCTGAGGAAGACTGGCTCTGAGCTAACATCTATTGCCAACGCTCCTCCTTTTTTTTCCTCCCCCCAAAGGCCCAGTAGATAGTTGTATGTCATAGTTGCACATCCTTCTAGTTGCTGTATGCGGGATGCAGCCTCAGCGTGGCCAGAGAAGCGGTGCGTCGGTGCGCGCTGGGATCCAAACCCGGGCTGCGAGTAGCGGAGCACGCGCACTTCACCGCTAAGCCACAGGCCGGCCCCCAGGATTTTACATTGTAAAATTATTTTAGCTATTACTCTCCTTTGTGTGTTGCATAATCTTTCTCTCTCATTTATATGTTTCAGTTTCAACGACCTCTGAGAGAACATCCTCTTTTTCTGCTTTATCCTTGTCATCTCCTGGTTCAGCCTCACCAGAGAAATCAGTTCATCTCTTACCCCCGATTTTGGCCGAACCTTCCTTCTGGACTTTGTCCCATCAACAATCTTCTTCTGCCTCCTTTAAAGATAAAGATAAGACAGCCAGGGCTCATCACCCCTTTGCTCCTAGGGGCCCAGTGTCTTCTGATGAAGAAGAAAACAACAACCTCAATGTACTGGAAATTCTTCCAGATAATTCTGATTCTGCACAAAAGAAGACAAGTCTTATTTCCAGCAATAATTGGATAGAGTTTTCCACCCAAAATGTAGGCCACTTCACCTCTGTGTCCTATTCTGGTTTTCAGACAACCAAAGGCCTGCCTAGGGAGCCTGAAGCAAACAATTCCATTGAAGTTCTTCTAGGGGAGGTAAAAAATGCGATAGTCAAATTACACGAAGATCTGAGCATGGTGTTACAAGAACTTAACGCCATCAATAGCCATCTGGTAAGCATAAATGGGACTAGTCCTCAAATAAGCAAGTCTTTGCAGGTTCCCCAGTCTTCTGAGGGGAACTCAGATCCAATCTAATCATCTCAATAGCTATTTTTGATAGAACTCATGAGATGCCACTTCCCAAAGACTAAGAAGTTAACCTTGTATAGATTCTCATTACTATGGCAAAAATACAGTGATGGTTTGATTTTTTCCTTGTCAGGTTTATTAACAAGTACCTTTCAAACCAATAAATTCATTTGGGTAGTTTATTTTTTAAAGAGAAAAAGTCTCCCCTTTGATAATATCTTCATATTTAAATATTAGTTCATTTGAAACTGAAGAGAATTTATTTTTTCATTCTCTGTACTTTACCTCAAAGTACGTTAAACATTAGTGAAATTTGTGGTAAGACCTCAAACTGCAAGTGACTATTCTAGATCTTTTGGATAAGTAGGCAGTAAAAAGCCCTTTATTTTTCAACTCTATGGAGCTTCATTGTTAACAAGCCTTTGCCTTGACTGAGATGGGTTGAGTCTGGGGTATACATGTCACATGTTCTCATGTCAAGTTTCAGGTTCTGCAAACCAAGGGCCAGAAATCTTCTTTCTCTTCTTGTGGATGCCACAGCTGGTTGGGAGTTAAGTTGAGACAAGTAGGATATGAAACAGATGTTTTTATTGTTAATGTATATTGCAAAGTGAATTCAAATGCATACTGTTTTTTTCTTGTATTTCAGAAAATAAATTTGATATTTTTCATTGTATGTGTATCTTTTTAATTTACTGAGACAGCCCTTCAAATAGAAATGTCTCAATTATTATATTTATGGGCCAAGTGATCTAGTTTGGGGATGATAGAACAGGGCTTCTCAGCTCTGCTGCACATAGAATCACCAGAGAAGATTCTATTTTGTTTTATATTTATTTGAGAGAATGGTGTAAGGGGGTCCATGTTCCCATCACTCAATTTCAATAATTACCAACTAAAGGCTAAATTATGTATTTAGCCTGATTATTTTGAAGAAATATGGGACATTTAAAAAATATTCTAATGCCTGGGTGTCACTCCTAATCCAAAACTGATTTTCATCACACAAACTGGGTTAAGAACAAGAGGGAACTGTCAGTGCAAAGACCCTAAAGTAGGAGGATATTTGATGTGTCGAGGAATGTCAACGAGACCAGTGTGCAGTGAGGAAAGGGGAGAGGAGTAGGAGATTTGAGGTCATGGAGGAAAAAGCAGGGAGCAGTGCCAGATGATATGGGCTCTTGAAAACCGTTGTTAGAGATTTTGGCTTTTCCTCTGTGAAATAAAAATGATGACAGGAGTTTAGGGTGAGAAATGACATGATGTGACTTATATTCTAAATGATCACTTTGGCTTGGTGGGGCAAGGGATGCCGGGAGTGGGGTGAGGCAGGTAAGCCAGTTAGAGGGCTACTGCGGTTATCCAGATAAGAGCTGATGGTGGCTCAAACCAGGGTGGGCATAGTGAAGGTAAGTGAGAAGTCATTAGTTTGGGGATTTGCTGATGGATTAGATAAAATATATGAGAGAAAGAGAGGAGTCAAAAATGAATTCAAGATATTGGACTGAGCAACTGAACTTCAAGATGAAGTTGCCATCAACTTCAAGATGAGGACGGTTACAGATAGAGAAAATTTTGAGGCATTCATTTTTGGATAGGTTAAATTTCAGATGTCTGTTAGATATTCATGTGGAGATGCCAAGTAGGCAGTTGGATATAAGAGTTCAGTTTGAGAGAGAGGTCTAGATTGGAGTGGAGGCTGGGAGTTAGTAATTGGTTGTTATTTAAAGCTATGAGACTGGACAAAATCACCAAGGGAATGAGTGTAATAGTAGAGAGAAGTTGAAGGCCTAAGCCCTGAGGCATTCTAATATAAAGAGACCAGGAAGAAATTGAGGAACCAATGAAGGAGGCTGAGAAGGAGCCACCACTGAGGTAAGAACAAAACAATAGTGTGTGGTGTTTGGAAGCCAAGAGTGTTTTTCTGTTCTTAGCACTTTTCTCTTCCATATGATTTCAGAAGCACCTTGTCAAGTTCTTTCTAAAGCCCTATTAGATTTTGATCAAAGTTGCTTTAAATCTGTTAATCAATTTGGGGACATTTTTACAAATTTAATCTTCCAATCCATGAGAACAGTATATCTCTACATTTAAATAGGTCTATTCTTATAAATTTTATAAGTTTAGCCATCCAGTCCATGAACTTAGTATATCTCTGTGTTCATATAGGTTAATGTTTCTCAATAAACTCATAATTTCCCCCACGGAGGACTTCTATTCTTTTTTAAAGATTTAATCCTTCATTCTTGATATTTTTATGCTGTTGTAAATGCTACCCTTTTTACCAGTTTTTAAGTTTTAGGACAGAACAGTTGAAAGAAATGTTCAAATGTACAGTTGTACATTGCACATGCATATGCCCTTTACCTACAATCACCAGTTCTCAACATTTTGCCATATTTTCTTATCTCCCTCTCTTGCTAAACATGTTTATGTCAATATACACATTATGTAGATAGGATAGATAGATAGACAGACAGACAGACAGACAGGCACACAGTTAACCAATTCTCTCTTCAGCTGTGTCTAATCTGTTGTTAAACCTTCCTATCAGGTTTTTCATACAATTATTGTATTTTTTATTTCTAGAATTCTACTTGGTTTTTTAAAAATCTGTTATATTACTTTTTATAATTTAATGCTTCTTGCAGATAGTCTCAGGCATGTCTTTACTAGTAAAAATAGCAAGCAAACTAGTATAAAATTCTTACTAGTAAAAATAGTAAGTAAATTAGAGAGTATTCTTGCTAGCAAATTATTAAGAATGGTTTAATATATGCATTTAAGGCTATAAGTTTTTTATATAGCTGCAACCCACAAATTTTTAAAAATTGAGATATAATTCACATACTATAAGATTTACCCTTTTAGGGTGTACAATTCAGTAGTTTTAGTATATTCATAAGGTTGTACAGCCATCACCACTATCTAATTCTAGAACATTCTCATCACCACAAAAAGGCATCCCATACTTGTTAGTAGCTACATCCTATTCCCCATCCTACAAGCCCCTGGAAACCACTAATCTACTTTCTCTCTCCATGAATTTGCCTATTCTGGATATTTCATATAAATGGAATCATATGTGACTTTTAGCATCTGGCTTCTTTCACTTAGCATACTGTTTTTGAGGTTCATCCATGTTGTAGTATCAGTACTTCATTCCTTTTTATAATTGAATAATATTGCATTATATGGATATACCACATTTTGTTTATCCATTCATCAATTAATAGACATTTGGGTTGTTTACACTTCTGGGCTGTTAGGAATAATGCTGCTATGAACATTTGTGTGAATGTATGTTTTCAGTTCTCTTGGCATATACTTGGGAGTGGAATTGCTGGGTCATATGATAAGTGTTATGTTTAACTTTTTGAGGAATTGCCAAACTATTTTCTGAAGTGCCTGCATCATTTTACCAGAAATTTTGGTATGTAATATTTTCATTGTCCTTTGGCTCAAAATATATTCTAATTCCTATCATGAAGAAGTTCAGAAGTATATTTCTTAATTTCCAAGTGTATTAGACTCTCTGATAATTCTAACATCTAGAGTTTTTGTGGGTCTATTTTTGTTATCTGTTGTCTTGCTGATTTGTGCTCGTGATGTTAGGTTTCCTTGTGTACCTCATTATCTTTGACTACGTGCTGGTCATGACACTTGAAAATTTATTTGTATGATTAATACAAGAATTTGTTTTTTTGCTTCTGCCAAGTGTCTGGTGCTCGTGCACCACCATACTGGCTAGATAAATCAAGGTCATGGCTTGAAGTTTTCTAGAATATGCACATTATCCCAGACTTAAATTCCTCATAAAGGTTCATCTCCAATTCATTCTTACTGGGTAGCCATTGGGGTTCCACTTGGTGGAAGGAGCATCTCTTGTTAGACTTCCCACCTTGTGTGAGGTGATTTCTGTTCCTATCACCTTTCAAGGTCATCAAAATGAAAGTTGGAATTTGTTGAACCCAACAAATGCCCTTAGAGAAAAATGGCTTCTGTGATCTTTTACCTATCAGGTCTCTATCTTGAGTACTTGTTATTCAAAAGACTGTACCAGGCCCTGGGGATCCAATGGTGAGCAAAACCAGATACAGTTCCTGTCCTCACAGAGCTTGAGTTCTAGAGTTCTGGAGAAATTTGATAGATTAATCCAATTCTTTTTTTTTTTTTTTTTTTAATGTAAAAGGCTAGTGGTTCTGGCAAAGGGTATGTAGGATTTGACCTGGTGAAGGAGTTCAGGGAGGATTTATCTAAGGAAGTAACTTAAGCTAAAATATGAATTCCAGGATTACTGAAGTGATGCCACTAATGACCTATTGGGCAAGTAAACCTCTTTATGAAATAAAATAGAGCGTAAAATAAGGATGAAATCTGAAGACGTCATCTGTTGGCTTTCTTCATACATCTGGGAGATCCACCAATGGACCCTTAGGGGATGGTAGGATGCAATATCTCCTTGTTGTACTGGCTATAACGTTTCTTAGCCATACATTGCTAAGAGTGGAAAAGCAAAAACCTCCAGAGGAGACGGCTGCCTCCCCCCGCCCCTTCACAAGAAGGTTCTGAACTAGGTGTCTGGAAATTTGCTCAGAGAAACCCCATTAATAACTGAGGCAACAAAAACCACCCCTTTGAGAAGCTACCTCACTTTCTCTGTGCTGCTTCCACGCACGTAGGAACCACAGATTGTAACTGGGTCTTACATAGCTCATATATTTTAATTCAGCCATTTGTTAATTAGCATAATTAACAAGCACTTATTTGAGTTTCTATTTAGCCAACTCCATTAAATGAATAGAACAAACTTGGCTTAAATTAAGAGTGGGTATATTCTGACTGACTTTGTAATTATCTCAGAATAAAAATACTTCATTAGATGTTATTCTCTTAAGTATTTTTCTTGGAACTTGAAGATCTTATTATAAGGCAGTTATAAAAATATTGTACAGTTTACTGACTGTCAAATTACTCATGTGTTCATTCTTTAAATATTTGTTAAGCACCCATTACGAGGAGGCAATTTGCTAGACATTGGGAACACGGTGGCGAACAAGATGGATGCAGTGCTGT